TGTAGTTTTTTTCAATCTTTGTTTCCACTTCCATTTCCTACAGTCTTTGTAGATATTGTTCCTCTGACTCCCAATGTTGAGACCAATATATAGAAATTTGAAGTAAATGGATTTTTAAAAAATCCTTATACATGGAATTTTCTTACTAAATGATAAAAAGTTTATTAACTTTGCTAATGTGGGGATATGGTTGCATTCTTTTTTGTTTGTTTGTTTGTTTGTTTGTTTTTTGAGACAGGTTTCTCTGTGTAGCCCTGGTTGTCCTGGAATTGGATCTGTAAATCAGGCTGGCCTTGGATTCAGAGATCATCTGCTTCTGCCTCCTGAGTGCTGAGATTAAAGGTGTGTGCCACCACTGCCCAGGTGACATAGCTGCATGCTTATATTAGTGTGTGTGTATGTGTGTGTGTGAGTGAGAGTGTGTGTGTGTATGTGTGTGTGTGAGTGAGAGAGTGTGTGTCTGTGTGAGTGTGTGTGAGTGTGTGAGTGTGTGAGAGTGTGAGTGTGTGAGAGTGTTTGTGTGAGTGTGTGAGAGTGTGTGTGAGTGTGTGGGAGAGTGTGTGAGTGTATGTGAGTGAGTGTGTGTGTGTGTGTGTGTGTGTGTGTAGAATAGAGAGTAACTTTGTGAGATGGATTTCCCTTTCCACCTCTGCATGGAATCTGGGGATAGAACTCCCAGGCTTGGGAGGCGAGAGCCATCTCACCAGCCTCTCTCTAAAATGTTTCTTTTACAATAGTTTTCTTTTCAGTTCTAGAGCTCAAACCCAGGTGGTCAGTACACACCAAGGACAATTGTTCTATCCCAACTACACTGGCCCTGGCCCTGGCCCTGTTTACAACTTTTTTTTTTTTGACTATGACAATTAAATTTAAGTTAGTCTCCTTTATTTGTCTCATATATTTATTTTCTAACTCCTTTAAGCTCATGTGGTTTCTTTTTAATTTTATTTATTTTATGTTTGTGAGTGATTTTGCCTGCATATGTGTCTGTGTACCATGGGCATGCCTGGTGCCCAAGGATCAATCTCTCAGGAGGATGCTGGATCCCCTGGAACTGGAGTGGCCATGTAAGTGCTGGGACTTGAACCCAGGTCCTCTGCGAGAGCAGCAGTGGTCTAATCACTGAGCTACCACTCCAGCTTGTTTTTATTTCACTGCCCATTTCCTTAGTCATACATACTGGGCTACTAGTGAGTCTGTTGTGCCTTGAGCTTTCCCAGTATTATTGGATGAGCTGATTTGAGAAGGCCTACACTCTCAGTAACTCTGGGTCACTAGGTTCCAGCTGGAGCCTTGGTAAGCAACAGCTAGGGCCGTGAAGGCGCCACTGAGGGAAGGGCCATTGCCTGCGCTGGCCTGCAGATGTGGCCCTCTGGGCGAGTCCCTCCACTGTGCTCCACTGAACCACAAGGGCCCCTTCTTTCCCTGCTGTCCACTCATCTAGACTCCCGTAGCAGTCAGTCTGGTAATGTGGGTGTGTTGTTACGGACATTTTAAATGTGTAAGCTTTGTCCCCGGTAGGTAATAGATCTGAGTCTGTTAAGTGAAAGGAGGAGATCGTCTCTTGGCCTGCTGAGCCAATTATGTACATGCTTTTTTCTATGGAGAAATTATAAGTAAATCTGGTATGGCTTGTTATATTTTGTGATGTTTTCTTTTCTAAATTAAATTTATTATTGTTATTATTATTGTATGTGTGTTGCAGGTGTGTATACCATGGCCCTTGTGGAGGTCAAAGGGCAGCTTTTGGGAGTTGGTTCTTTCTATAGTGGGTTCTGAGGGTCAAGCTCAGGTGTCAGGCTTATGTGGCGAGTGCTTTTTTCTCCTGTGTTATCTCCCTGGCCCTATAATCTTTTCTTTCTTCCTTTCTTTCTTTCTTTCTTTCTTTCTTTCTTTCTTTCTTTTTTTTTTTTTTTTTTTTTTTGAGACAGGGTCTCACTCTATAGCCCTGTTTGGCCTGGAACTCTTGTATTGACCAGGGTGGCCCCAACTTACAGAAATCTGCCTGCCTCTGCCTCCAGTAATATTTTCTTAATTATTAAGCCTGAATATTATGGCCTGGCAAGATGACTCAGTGGGTAAAGGTGCATGTCCGCAAGACTGATGACCTGAGTTCAGTCCTTGGGAAGCTCATGATGGGAGGAGGGAATGACTTCTACAAGTTGTCCTCTGATGTCTCCAAACAGCCTGTAGCATTCACACATGTGCGCACACACTAAATACATGTGAGAAAATATAATAACAAACCAGTGTGAATATTACGTGACAGCTGAAAGAAATAGGTGAAGTTGAGGCAAATACAAGCTGGGATGGTTTTTGGATGTGTGCTTTTAAAAACTGACTTAGTTATGGCAGAGGCTGTTCATTTGATCAGTATACCCCTTAAGCTGTGCAAGTTCCTGTACAGTCTGCATGTCCAGGGTAGAAGGTTTTACTGGTGAGCTGGCAGAGTTCTGTAGGCTGAGGATGTGAGGAATCCACTTGGTCAGTTTGCTTTTCTAAAATGGCAAGGGATGCTGGATAGCACTTTGGACCTTTTAGGAAGATGTAGTTTGCAGAAGCTGCAGCTATAGGGCTGATGAATTAGGCAGTGACTGACTGTGTGTGCCTGACTTGTGGCTGTTCGCTTGGTATATGTCTGAGTGTCTGGGCCTGACATATGGCAGAAGGAAAGGGACATTTTTTTCTGAGAGACAGCAACTAAATCTTAAACTACTGGGCCTTTGTCTGCTCACCTTGAGCAGTGGCGGCGGCCAGTGGAGGCGGCTCTGCTGTTGCTGATCTCCGTTCTGGGCTGGGGCTGCATGCTAAGTGCGTTTAGACACCTCACCTCCATTTTCACTAGACTGCATGAGATCATAAGAGCTTTTTATTATTTCTGTTTAACTGATGAGAAAACTGAGCCCAAGCAGGAACATTGTGGGAGGGGGGCAGGAAGGTTGTAAGGGCCAAGAGCCATCTGAAGGGTTACGAATGCCACTCTGTGCGGTCCACGCAGCCACTGCAGTTGTGAGCTCACAACAGTAGTTACCTGCAGCAGGCTCGTGTGACACTGGACCTATTAACAGCTCATCAAGGAGAGGGGAGGGGCTCATAAGGCCATACCCGGTTACCTCCGAAGTCCTGGTCCTTCCTGGGGGATGGAGGGAATCACTGTCTTTAGCTATGTTCCCACTACTGAGCCCAGCAAGCTCCAGGGATAGCACCAAACTCATGGTCACACAGATGGCCCTGGCTAATCTCAGTGGGTCACACAACAAAGGGAGTAGACATGAATGTGTGAGAGACTTGTGAAGGGTGTGGCACAGATGTAATCGGCAGGTGGGGATGAGACTATTCAGTATGCATTTTGTGCACGAGTGAGAATGTCTAAGAACAAATTAAATTCATTAAAAGAAGAGAAAACTAAGGGCTAGATGGACAGCAGCGTGGACAGGGTGCACTGCCTTTCAGAGGACCAGACTTCTGTCCCCATGTGGGCATCGCGCTTCCCTCCAGGGTGTGCATCCACACTTTAAAGCACACAACTATACACAGTTAAAAACCAAATCTTAAAAAGGAACCGAGCGAGGAAAGGGCCAGAGAGCGCGTGTGCTCGAGAGAGCGAGCTGAGCCTGGAAACCATTTATGGGAGCACATATCTGTACGTCTAGCACTTAGCAGTAAATTTGAGGTCAGCCTGGGCTACACCAGATCCTGTCTCCAAAACCCAGGGGCCAGTTGGGGAGAGAAAGATAAAGGAAAACGGAGCCTAGGATCATATGACAGTTAAGTGGTAGCGTCAAAATTTGCATCCAGAGTTCCCAGGTTCAAAAGGCCAGGAGGCCCTTAGTTATATCACCATCTGTCACTAAGGACAGTCAGCCTTCTACTTCAGCTAATGCTGGATGAAGACAAGGCGTGTTGACCGTAGAAATTCCCATACAGCGTTGTTAACTCCATGTTTGGTTAATTAAAGCAGACTTCCCCGTGCTACTTGGACCCTCCATGGGAGCCGGGGAATCAGATTGGGAATCAGCAGGGATAAATCTGTATATAGCTAGATGGAGTCTTCCCTCCCCTCCCTTTAAAAATGTATTATCTGTGATCGACAGTTCACAGGCCCAGCCTTGTGTGTGCCTGGTGCAGGCAATTAGCATGGCCATGTGCTCACGCTTGCACTGGCTGACGACAGTACCCACAGCCCTTCGGCCTCTCTGCTGCGTCTTCTATACTCCATGCTTTCCCTCCCTCCACGGTGTTCCCGGAGCCTCAGAGATGCTGTGTAAAGTAGGACTATTACTTGCACTTGCCATCCTAGAAACGTGAAAGGAAGCAAAAAAGGAAAATGTTTTCATCGGAACAAAGGCCTTCTTCTGCTCGATGGCTCTGCTGTCCCTGTGGTGTGAGCCCAGCTGGCCATGTTGTTGGGTGGGGTCCTTGGCTTGTTGCCAGGCTTGATTTCTGCCGAAGCACGTTGGCACCTCAGTTTGGTGGGGCTGTAGCCAGAGGCTCCCCAGCGGGCAGCCAGGGCCTCTCTCTCTCAGGCTGCAAGGTGGCCTCGGCGAAGGGAGGCCTTCACCTCTGTCCCTTGCAGTGAGGGCTGTGACAGCTGTGGGCCTTTCTCCGTGGGCTTGCAGCTGATGGCCCAAGCAGTTCCTTCACTAAAAACAAAGGGAGCGGTTAAGGAGCAAATTGGTTCCCTGGCTTTGGGGCAGGCAGACCCAGGGCACTGAGCTGAAGGGAAATTATTCCTGTGCAGTCGGGAGTCCTAGGACAATTAAGCAGTCCAGACAGGTCACTAGGTGACACTCATTTCCTGGTTTGTTTATTTGAGCCAGATTATCTCCCACCTAGCAGTCTGCTGCCCTGCTGCCTGGCCTGCAGAGAGCAGCCCTTCCCCGGTGACTTCTGAGACTTCCCCGAGTCCCCGTGAACCTCTATCTGGTTGGGTGGCTCTGGGGTCTCCTAGCTACAGAGTGCAGGGTGGGGCCGGTAACTATGGACTTGGTGTCTTGCAGGCTTTTGGCTTTATGTCCAGGGTTGCTCTACAAGCAGAAAAGATGAATCATCACCCAGAGTGGCTGAACGTGTACAACAAGGTAACCGCCCTCTCTATCCCGGGGTCAGGTTAGTCTGGGGACTGAAGACGCTTATTTACCTATGAACTTGGTTGTGCTGAGAACGTACCCTCTTATTCTCTCCCAGAAACTCCCTGTTCTTAATGGACACAGTCCTGAGAGCAGACCGAGGGTTCTCTGTCCTTGGGTTTGTCTTCCAGCATTTATTCCAGAAGTTTGGACCATCCCGAGTTAATAATCTTAGATACCAGCCACGAAGAGAAAGGTTTACGCGCATTTTTGTGGAGGGTTATATTATTTAAGTCAGGGTCTCCCCATGTACCCCATTTGTCCTGGAGCTCACAGTGAATAGCAGGCTGGTGGGAGAGCCTCCTGCCTCTGCCTCCCATTTTGTGGGATGTGCCACCATGGCCAACTCAGTTGTCTGAGACCTCAGAGTTTTAATTTGGAAATAATGTATTAAAAGGAATGGTAGCAAATCAGGTAGCATGGCTTGACCTGTCTCTGAAATAAACCTCAGAAACTGTCTTTGTAGTAAGTGTTTATTAAAGATGATCTCCAGAGGGCACACTAAAAAGTTTTAAGGGGCGCATCGAGTACAGCCACACCCCCAAGAGTGTCTCACCACCGGGATGTCTATCTAGATTTCTTTGAGGATTTGTAAATCCTCTTTGAGACAAAGAAAACTTCACTGTTGTTACTTGAAAAGAAGCAGCTCCTAATTGTCAGTTCCAGAATGAACTTCTCTTTCCTGGGCTCTTGTTTTTAATCTTGTCGAGTGTGTCCCCAATCATCTTTCCTTGATTGCTAGCCTGCCTTACCTCACTCAGGTACTGCCCGATAGTGGCTGGCCCTTTCTTGGTGGCCTCAGCAGAGCTGGTGTAACGTTAAAATGGAATTTCTGTTTCTGTTGATGTTTCCCAGGAAGCAAAGATTTCCATGCTGGCGGCAGACTCCCATCATCTTCTGGGAGCCTCCCCTCCAGTGTGGCTGTCACATCCAGCCAGCTGCAGCCTGTACCCAACCTCGCTGGGTTTGGGAAATGCAGTGTTTTTTCATAATGTAGCATTTCCTAAATCATCTATTCTCAAATCTGAATGGTGAGAGGTAGATGAATCCTGACCCACCCAGGGAGAAGTCCCACACACACATACACAGGTCTCTGCTCAGGTCTGAAAAGCTGCTTTTCCCTTTGTAGGTCCAGATAACTCTCACCTCGCATGACTGTGGAGGCGTGACCAAGCGTGATGTGAAGCTGGCCCAGTTCATTGAAAAAGCTGCTGCTTCTCTGTGACCTTTCAGACACATGCCTGCAATGTTTCTGAAGCCATTTATGAGAATAAATGAAGTCATAAATCAGTTTGCTTTCACATATATACATTTTTGTATAGTTGATGCTTAGATACAGAGTGATTTGAACCTGGAGCCTGAGTCAGACATACAATAAACAACCTGATGAGTTATTATTTAAAAATCAAGTGTATGTGTGTGTGTGTGTCTTTGTGTGAATGTGTGTGTATGTGTCTTTGTGTGAATGTGTGTGTGTGTATATACAGCTGCCTATGAAGGCCAGAGATGCAGGGCCCCTGGAGCCAGACTCACAGGTAGTTAGTTGTAAGCCGTCTGCCCTGGTGCTGGAGCCCCCTCAGAGCGTCTGGAAGAGCAGGGGAAGCTCTTGACTACTGGGCCCCCCCATCCTCCCCACCTGGCTTGTTATATGAATAGTATTTTCAAAGTAATACAACTTAAAAAATTTTTTTTTTCTAAACAGGATTTCACTATGTAGCCAGGATGAATTTGGATCTTCTATGTAGTCCAGACTGGCCTAGAAAACAACTGGAATTTTGGTTTTAGATTTATTTATTCTATGTATATGGTTTTTTTGTTTTTGTTTTTGTTTTTTTGAGACAGGGTTTCTCTGTATCCTTGGCTGTCCTGGAACTCTCTGTATAGGCCAGGCTGGCCTTGAACTCAGAGATCCGCCTGCCTCTGCTTCCCCAGTGCTGGGATCAAAGGCGTGTGCCACCACCGCCTGGCTCTATGTGATGTTTTTCTTGCATGTATGTCTGTGCGCCATATGCATCCCTGGTGCCTGTGGAGGTCGGAAAAGGGCATCTAATCCCCTGTAGCTGAAGTTATGGACATCTGTGAGCTATCATGTGGGTGCTGAGAATTGAACCTGGGTCTTCTGAGCTATCTCTCCAGCCCCAAATGGCATTCTTAAAGGCCAGAATCAGGATAGGAGGATATTAACATTTTGTCACCCAGAAACTGCAGAGCAGGACTTTGTAAAAAGTGTCAGAGAATGGTCGGAAGGGATTCCCCATTCTGAAGATGTGTTCTTCGAGTAATTCTCAAGAAGCCAGAGTTGTTTAGGGTTTTACTGCTTTACTACTTGAACAGTTAATTTTATTACAAAAGTCACAAATATTGAATGACCTATCTTGGTTATGCTTTACTTTTTGGACAAGGGGTTGAAGGAGAAAACAGATGTCTTGTTCAGGGCTCCTGTGCGATGTGGCGATCCATGGACAACCTGTCGTCGAGATGGACCACCTGGGTTTTAATGAGTTGAGGAAGAACCTAGTTTGTGTGTCGTGGCCAGTGAACTGAGTGCACAGACTTAGTCTCCAATGAAGACCATCTCTGTAGAGACCTCTCTCCACAGGCCTGAAGAGCAGTCCTGTTAGGACAAAAGCCCTCATTGCCACCCAAGCCACTGCTGCCTGCAACATGAGGTGTCTGTGTGGTTGTGTGATGAAGGGCCAAGCTCCCCAAAGCTGATTCCTGGATGGTTCAGTTATCTACTGCCTCAGTCACTTTCTCATTTTCAACAAATGTCTGCTTAGAGGAGACAGTCCGTCAAGGCAGGGGAGGTGGCCGCAGGTGTCACCTGGCCACACTGCATCTGTAGTCAGGAGCCTATGGGATGGGCTAGGTGCGCCTCCTCATCTCAGTTGAGGTGTGTCTCCTAGGCAACCTGACACCAAGCGTACCACCTCCTCATTTTATTTTAAATCAATTTTAGATTTGTTTACAATGTAGTGCTTAGTGTTTGCTGGCTTTTGTTTGTATTTTCAAGACAGGATATCCTGCATCTCAGGTTCACCTCCTTCTCTCATTTAAAAACTTATTTTAAATTTGTGTGTGTGTGCCTGTATGAGTTTATGTGTGCCACATGTATTCAGGTACCCAAAGAGGCGAGAGGGCATTGGATCCTCTGAAACTGGAGTTACAGGTGGCTGTGAGCCACCAAACATGGATTCTGGGAACCAAACCTAGGTGCTGTGCAAGAATGTTAAGTCCTCTTAGACCCCGAGCCATCTGTCCAGTCCCCAAAGGGATGGTTTTCTCATGGCCTCTTCATACATGTTACACTTGATGGGAACATGGGGTTTTGGGTAACCTAAGCCTGTGTTCCTGGGTTGTGGTCATGCAAAGTGGCTCCATAATAAGCTACCTCTTCTTTCCTTTTTAAGGCGAGATCCATGTTTGTTTGTTTTTGCATTGACAAAGGTTATAATTAAGGAGTAAAAAGAAGAGAAGAAAAGGACTGGAGGAAGCAGACGGAGGACTGACGACGAGGAGGAGCCCGTGGGACTCATGGCTGGAGGGTATAGTCAAGAAGGGCCTGATGGCATGCTGAGGGCAAGAAGCATAATCAGGGTCCGAAAGCCTAACCCGAGGCACAGAGACCATCGCGGGACATACATGCAAAACCAGAAATTGAATGTCAGGAACCGAGAGAAAAAGAATACAGATGGGCGAGTGGCTGACACAGCTGTGAGGGGCTAAAGGCGAAGCTCTCAGACCCTGCCGGCTCTGTCTCGGCGCTTCTCAACCTTCTCAACCTTCCCAGGGCCGCAGCTCCTCGTGTGACCCAGCCATGCGGGGATTTTAGTTGCTACTTCCTAACTGTAACTTTGCCACTGTTATGAACCATAACTATCTAATATGCAGGGCAGCCTTTGGTGACCCCAAAGGGCGCTCTACCCACAGGTTGAGAACCACTGTTCTAGACGGTTCCACATGATACTGTGTGGGTGAGGGGAGAGTGGGAGCCACAGTCTCACCAAAGCTTTAGCGTTCCTGGGTTTGTGGTGTGTGGTGCAGCGAGGATGAAGTTCTTTCCTGCTGGTTCCCCGGGACTCCCACACTCCACAGGGCCCTTCGGTCCTCCAGATCTAGTGATGTAGGACATCACTTCACTTGGGTTACCAAATGCTTTTTTTTTTAAAAAAAATTTACTGTAAGGAGTAAGGTTTTTCCACCCGCCACTGGTCTTGTACTGCGCCGTGCCAGCCCCAATTAACACACAGAGACTCTGTATTAGATATGATGCTGTTGGCCAGGTACTTGTTTCTTATCTGCTAGCTGTCTTAATTATTAACCCATTTCTATTAATCTAGTATTTCCACGTGGTCTCATCTTACCAGGGAGTGAGGCCGGCGTCTGGTCTCCCTAGTCTCTCTGGGTTGACTCCTCCTTACTACCCGAAAATATGTTGGACACTGTTGTTGCTTCTGCTGGAGTTCATTCTCGCCTCAGCTAATGGCCTGTTGGGCAAAGAATTGCCCCCACCCTGACCACTGATTTGGACATGCAGTCCTATGTGCTTGCAGGAGACAAATATAGAAGACTGCTGAACCTTGCCAAGTCAGGGTAAGGCAGCCTTTCTACCTCCCTGCTGTTGTTCTGGTCTGTCAAGTTCTCTTGGCCTTAGCCAAAACTGGGTGTACCAACGTTGCTGTGAGACCTTGGGTGACTGTCCAGGTAGCTTGATGTTTCTGTCCTTGCTGCACCATTTGGAAGTTGTCCATCCGCATTATTTTCCTTCTCAGGTCTTAATGAGGTTGAAGATTAAACTATCACAACTATTATTCTCTCTTCCTAGTTAGATATATTAGGTACCAGACTTAAGTTTTCCAGCTTAGGACAACTCTATTGAAATCTCCATTATGCCTTCACCCTAGGACTAGATATATGTAGGTCATTTTGTTCTTGATTTTCCTTTTCTTAGAGCACACTTGTTATTCACTGTTTTGTACATTTTTTTTTTTTTTTATCAAGCCTAAATCTTTTCTTTAGACTAAAAGGGGAATTGTAGTGGGATATTCACCATGTCTCCTTCTGTAGCACTGACCACGCCCATTGGGGGGTGGAGCCAGGGGCGGAAGTGACAGGTGGAAGGAGGTCTGAGGAGGAGCTAGGAATGCTCTCTAGCTGGCATGACTCGGACAGGAGAGCATCTGGTGGAACTTGCTGGTGTTCATCTGCCTAGGTTGTAAGTTATTTCTCCCTGAACAAACATCTATTTGGCCTATTTGTTTATCCTGATCCTTATTAAACCGCAATAATTTACAGATAATTGGATGGAGCTAGGCATGGTGGTACACACCGATCATCCCAGCACACCGCTCTGAGGAGGGGAGGGCTGTTGGGATAGAAGGTCAGTGTCATTCTCTGCTGCATATGGAGTTTGGGACCAGCCTGGGCTATATCGGGTGTCAGAAAACCAATTTTAAAAATTGTGTATCTTTATGAGACACCGTGTGATGTTATAGTGCATGTATATATTTCACACTGACAAACTCAGGGCACTTATCTCCATCCCAAACATCTATCATTTGGGATCAGAAGGCCTCTCCTCTGTTTCTATTACATGACATAATATTTTGATTATAATTACCAGGACCTATTTCTCCTATTGGGCAGGATATAGATGCTATTATTTCTCAATCCAGTGTTTTAGTTGCTTATGTCAGTATTTTCTTACCAGCAATAGACACGGACATGTTTAAAATACTAAGGACTAGTTTGGGTAGAGTGCTTGCCCAAAACAAGAGGTTGTGGGTTGAATGTTTTTCTCTGTCTCGATGGTCCCCCTGGACTGGTTTCTCTCCCACTCATGGGTTCTTGTAGCTGCTTATGAAATAATCACTCACAGCCTAATATTAAATATAATTGTTTGGCCAATGGCTCAGGCTTATTACTGACTAACTCTCTCTTATAAATTAACCAATTTTTAATAATCTATGTATCACCACATGGCCATGGCTTACTGGTAATGTTCTGGCATCTTTGGCAGCTACATGGTGTCTCCCTGATTACACCTTCTTTCTCTCCATAACTGTTTGGATTGTCTCTCTGCTGGACAATACTTGATAATTGTTCTTATCGGATACAGCTTTGTATTAGGTTAAGAAACCTCTGCTTAGAAAAAAGAGGAAAGTATTATGGAAACTCATTACACCAATAGCCTCAGGGTAGCAAGCTCTAGGATCTGGTCTTGTCTGATACTTGACAACTGATAAGCTAGAGGGAAGCGCAGTCTTGCTCTGGCTCTTAGCATGCTTGCAGAGGTGGCTCAAGATCAGTGGCAGCATCTGCTTTGCTCTGTGTCTGTGAGTTTGTCTTTTCATTGCACCTCTTAATAAATTGGTTGTCATAGTCTTGTGGGTTCTTGCCTCACCTAACATTGCAAGCAATAGAAGAGAAAGAATATTAGGGGCAGTAGAGATGGTGAGGTGGCAACCCCATTTCCTTATAGCTCAGGAACTTATGTTTTCAGGAAATTGTCCAACTCAGTGACTAAACATTCAATATTACACAGCAATCCAGATCTCTGTGTCTTGCCTTGTGAGAATCAAGCCAGAGGGGAGCTGGGGGTGGGGGCCAAGGAGGAAGATAACTTTTGAAGGTTGAACAGAACTAAATCCCTATAGCTTTTGTACTCTAACATCTCTAGGTCTTGGGCTCATTCCTCCTGGCTTGCAAGCCTCCCAGCTGGGCTGGCTGACTGCTGATGTCCTGACAGAAGGAAGGATGGAGGCTTATAGGACCTACCCAGCCATTCCTTTCCACATGTTGCATGCAGTTCTGCCCCGATTGCTTGTGGCCTCAGAGCATGGCTGGAGCATACAGCCTGGTGAGGGTTAGGAGAGGGTGCCCCATTTATGCGTCTATGGGAAAGCAATGCGTCCTGCTGGGTAGACTTCCAGTGTGGCCGTTGGGAGTGAACGTCCATGCTCCTGTATGTAACCCTTATCTGTGCTTTGTAAGTAAGCCCAATAAACTCATTGATTCCCCGGGAGTGAACTTTGGTGCAATCCTCTCTAGATTTGTCCTTGGGACCTTAGACATTGTTTATATTTTCCTCAGAAAGGAGTTTTGGTAGCCACATCCCAAACCTCCAAATAGCAAGACCTGGGACGCCTTCTCTGCTTTCCCTGGGTTTTTGAGCTCACTGCCTTGCCCATTGCAATCTTCTTTTCTGTTTAGGAGTCTCTGGTGCTGACTCTGGGTGTGTTCTGTCCCTTAGAAGCTCAGAAGACTTAATTTTTCCTCCTACATGCCCCTCAACTTGTCTTGCCATCTTATAAAAGGCCTTTTCCAGAGTGGGCACACCCTAAGGGAAGTCTACATCTCTGATGTCACTCTGCTTTACCGCTATTGCTAGGGACTCATCTTCTCTGAGGCATTCCCCACCTCAAGAAGAGGGACTTGCGAGTGGACGAGCCCACACTCAGGCCTCCCTCTCAGGCTGTAACTGCTGGAATGCAGAGGGGCGACCTCATAAAGCAGAGAACCCTTCCAGGGTCCCTCTGCTGCTTCTTAGAATCCAGGTGCCAAGGAAATCCTTAGGCAGAGGTTTTGGGTAGTTGATTAAAAACAAGGGATAAAAACAGAAAACTTGGGAAATGTCCCAATACTTTCACCACAACCCCGTCAAAGTTGTGTCCAGTTCCCTGTTTGGCACTGCGTCAGAGGCACTGCATGCAAGGTTCAAGAAAATTAAGTAAGTACCTTTTCCTTCCACGGTTAAAAAAGGTGTGAAGAATAGCATGGGGACAGGTCCCGAGCTCCCCCAGCCTCTTCTACAGGCACTTGTCAGGGGGAGGGAGGCTGGCACATTTGCTGATCACCTGGAGTCTGAATTCGACTCATGTTCATCTATTAAAGTGTGAAGGCTTTCACCCTTTATTTTGCTACAGGACTTATTTCAAATCATAGAATGAAAAATTACATATTTTGCTACATATCATAAGGTATATGGTCCGTAACAGGCTCTCTTAGACTGCCAGCCCTCAAATCATGACACAGACACTTATTATTATGAATGCTCAGCCTTAGCTTATGCTTGTCTTACCAGTGCTTATAAGTCATATGAACCTGTTTCTGTTCATCTGTGTTTTGCCTCAGGGATTTTTACCTATCTTTCATTCTGTATGCCCAACTCTGTGTCTGGCTGGCTGGTGTCTGGCTGGCTGGTGGCTGGCTGGCTGGTGGCTGGTTGGTGGCTGGCTGGCCCCCAGCCTTTCTCCTTCTCCCTTGTCTCTCTCCCCTTCTCCCCTCCTACGTATTCTCTCAACCTGCCAGCCCTGCCTATCCCTCTACTGCTTAGCTGTTGGCTGAAGACCAATCAGGTGCCTTAGACAGGTAAAGCAATTTATCTTTACATCGTTAAACAAATTCAGTATAAACAAATGCAACACATCTTTACATCATTTAAAGTAGTATTCTGACCAGGCGGTGGTGGTACACGCCTCTAATCCCAGCACTCAGGAAGCAGAGGCAGGAGGATCTCTGTGAGTTTGAGGCCAGCCTGGTCTACAGAGCGAGTTTCAGGACAGCCTCCAAAGCTACACAGAGAAACCTTGTCTGGAAAAACAAACAAGCATAAAAATACCCCAGAACAAACAAACAAAAAAGTAGTATTCCACAACATTTCCCCCTTTTTGTCTAAATAAAAAGGAGGATTTAGCTTCAACATAGTAAGATTATATACAATAAAAACAATTGTCGAGCAAAAATTACATTTACAATATCTAGTCCATTTGTATTTGGCAAATTCAGAGAAATACTTCATTATTTATCCTATCTTGATGAGTCCAAAGTTTTGTACATAGTTTATACTTTCTATCATAATCAAGGAATACTGCAACTATCTAGTCTTCAACTCCATCAAAGACCCCAGAAAGATACAATGTTACCTGAGTAAACAGGAAGTTCAGTGCAGACCACTTCCAAGACTATAAAAATGACAGAGACACCTGGCTTCCTGGACAGTCACTCATGGTTCCTTTGCAACATTGGGGGGCATCCATCTTCAAGCTACAAGCCTAGAATATCTGGCATACTTTTCTATGAAGTAGGAATTTTGAAGGACTGTCTTGTCTTGATTTGGCAAAGTTCTGCAGTCTTTTTCCTTTGTGCCCTGCTTGTCCAGTTTGGATGGAATACTGTAATCAGTCAATGCATGGCAAATGGCTAGCTTTGCCATAATGGAAGCAAACCTCATATGAAGGTTCCTTGATGCCTTTCATCCTTTTAAGAAGTAGATTGGTTAGCCGGGCGTTGGTGGTGCATGCCTTTAATCCCAGCACTTGGGAGGCAGAGGCAGAGGATCTCTGTGAGTTTAAGGCCATCCTGGTCTACAGAGCTAGTTCCAGGACAGGCTCCAAAGCAATACAGAGAAACCCTGTCTTGAAAAACAAAACAAAACAAAATAAAACTAAACAAAACTAAACAAAAAAAGTAGGTTTGTGCTTCCAGGAGCAGACGTGTCTCACTGTCATGAAAATGCCATATTCTGTAGGACTCTGAAGCATTTGAAAAGCATCTATCTCTAAAATCTATCTGTTTAACATTGAAAACAAATATAACATGACTAGAAGTTTGATTATTGTAGATGACTACTAGCCTGCATTTCTTAATTATATATTGCATTTTAAATGAGCTGCATAAACACAATATCCCAAACAAGAGTAGAAGTATACATACAGTATAACAAAAATAACTTTTAATTTTTATCAATATACCTAATCCATACCAATGTAAAACATTTGAGGTTTATAGTTGTCTCTTTATCCCATATTCCTATATTCTACCCCCTAAACAATGACCAGCATCCACAACACACAGGATGATCCCGAACCACTCACCCTCCTCTTGGGAATGTGTTAGCTAGACTGCTTCCTGTTGTCTAGGGTAACAGTGTCTATAGGGAATCCTGTGGGAAAATGGAGATAGTGGTCAGGTCCTGGGAAAAATAACTACAACATTTGTTGTCCATCTCAGAGCTATTCCCATGCAGAGGGATCAGTATATATGTCACCTGTCAGTATATATGTCAATATATATGTTATTCATTTCTTTGTAGCCAAGATTTTTAGGTCTCCCCCGATCAAATCTGATCTCTATTAATCTGGAAGGAATCCATAGCCTTTATTTACCATGAAAACAGAAGCATAACCTCTTCCCCAGTGCAATACATTTTCTGACTTCCGTTTTAAAGTTAAGGCATCCCTAAAGTGTTCGGGCTGGGTTAACTCAGCACTCCCTGTTACGATCCGTGTCTCTCAGCAGCTGTCATTGTCTCACCAGCATTCAAAAAATTCCAAGTCAACACAGCACCACACAGGGTCCAGACCCTGAGCATCTCCCATATTTATGTGGCTTTTTTCCTTTATATTGTTGTACTCTCTTGTTAAAGACCTTATTATTTTTAAACTATTTTTTCCATGGCTAAACTATTTTAAACCATTTTCTTTCTTAAGCCTATGCACATTTTTAAACACATTGTACCCTATTTTTTCTTTTTTTTTTTCTTTTTCTTTTCATCTAGACCTGTATCCTCCCCCTTTTTATTTAAATTTGAAACAAGGTTATTTTACATGTAATCCCGGTTCCCTCACCCTCCCATTCTCCCATTTCACCCCCACCCAACCCCAGCCCATCTCCTTTCTGCTCCCCAGGGAGGATGTGCCTTCCATGGGGAGTCTTCAAAGTATATCCTATCATTAAGAGCAGGGCCTAGTCTCCCCCACCCCGCATGTGTCTAGGCTGAGAAAGTATCCCTCTATGTGGGCTGAGTTCCCATAGTCAATTCGTATACTAGGGATAAATACTGATCCATTACTAGAGACTCCATAAACTGCCCAGTCCTCCTAATTAACACCCATCTTCAGGGGGTCTAGGTTGGTCCTATGCTGGTTTCCCAGCTGTCAGACTGGGGTCCATGAGCTTCCTCCTTGTTCAGGTCAACTGATTCTGTGGGTTTCTCCAGCCTGGTCTTGACCCCTTTGCTCATCACGCCTCCCTCTCTGTAATTGGATTCCCTGAGTTTGGCTAGTGTCTAGCTGTCTGTCTGCTTCTGCTTCCATCAGCTACTAGATGAAGGCTCTAGGATGACAAATAAGGTAGTCATCAACCTCATTATCAGGGAAGGGCATTTAAGGTAGCCTCTCCACTATTCCTTAGAGTGTTAGTTGGGTTCATCCTTGTAGCTCTCTGGACATTTCCCTAGTGCCAGATTTCTCTTTAAACCTAAATGGCTCCCTCTACTACGGTATCTTTCTTGTTCTCCTCTGTTCTTTCCCTGACTCAAGCTTCCTGTTTCCTCATGCCCACCTCTCCCCTCCTCTTCTCCCCTTCTCTTTCTCCTAACTCCCTCTCCCTTCCTCCCATGCTCCTAATGTGCTCAGGAGATCTTGTCCCTTTCCCCTTCTCCAGAGGACCATGTATGTCCCTCTTAGTGTCCTCCTTGTTTCCTAGCTTTTCTGGTGGTGTGAATTGTAGACCGGTAATCCTTTGCTCTAGGTCTAAAATCCATTTATGAGTGAGTACATACTGTGTTTGCTTTTTTGTGACTGGGTTACCTCACTCAGGATGGTTTCTTCTAGTTCCATTCATTTCCCTGCGAACTTCAGATTCCATTGTTTTTTTCCATAGAGTATTATTCCATTGTGTAAATGTGCCACATCTTCTTTATCCATTCTTCAGTTGCGGGGTATCTAGGTTGCTTCCAAGTTCTTGCTATTACAAATAATGCTACTACAAACATATTTGAACACATGTCTTTGTTTCATGGATGTGGATCATTTGGTTATATGCCTAAGAGTGGGATTGCGGGGTCCTTTGGTAGACTGATCCCCATTTTCCCGAGGAACCGCCATACTGATCTCCAAAATGGCTGTACAAGTTTGCACTCCCACCAGCAGTGGAGGAGTGTTCCCCTTTCTCCATATCCTCTCCAGCATAAACTGTCTTTGGTGTTTTTGGTTTTAGCAGTTCTGACAGGAGTAAGATGGTATCTCAGAGTTGTTTTGATTTGCATTTCCCTGATGGCTAAGAATGTTGAGCACTTTCTTAAGTGTCTTTCAGCCATTTTAGATTCCTCCGTTGATAATTCTTTATTTAGTTCTGTACCCTACTTTTTATTTGGATTATTTGGTGTTTTGGTGACTAGCTTCTTGAGTTCTTTATGTATTTTGGAAATCAGCCCTCTTGTCAGATGTGGGGTTGGTGACAAAACCAGATTTAAACAATACACATCAACTAGACCTGCCTTTATTGTGTGTCTAGCTTTTTCTGACCACATGAGCCAAACCTTAAACTTTGAGGAGGCATTGTGCTGGCAGCTGGCTCTGTTCCACTCAGATTCATGAGAGCTGAGTTTTATGCCCCTTAAGCCTGGCTGAGAGCTGTGTTTAACTGGGAGCTTCATTCAACCACCCCAGCTCAAGGCAGCTGATGCCCACACTATGGCAGTAAGTGTGTTTGTCTCCTGAACCATTTCACCAGCCTGTAACCAGTTCTTTCTGTTAGATCTTAACATTGTTTTCATGTTCTCATCATTGTAAGTAATCCTGAAATGGATGGGTTGAACTAACTCACTGTGTACATTTTAGGTTGTATTATTTTGGGCTAGAGTCTGGGGAAGAGGACATGAATAGTGCTGTTCTGTTTTGTTTGTTTTTAAATAAAAGCTCATCAGTATAAGTGTTCCTGTTTCTTAAGAAGAATATCCCATCACATTCTACTTTTGTAGTCATGAAGTATTATCACATGGATGTTCTGACTGACTTTATAAGCAAAAGACATAAATAAAGGTATTACTTTGTATCTCCCTGATACCATTTGAACTGTCATTATTGGATATGTGTCCCTTTTTTCTTCAGGTGTTTAACTTTGTCATAGATGTGCGTGTGTGTGTTTGCAAGTCAGTGATATGTATCATTTAATGTGTGTGCATGTGTGCTTACGAGCCAATGATGTATGTCATTTAGTGTGTGTATGTGTGTGTGTGTACACCAGTTTTTCCTATGACATATGTCCCCCTGGGTCCCTGGTGTTTACTGACAGTAGTCACTTGGGGATGATTTATTAAAGAAGGAAATGGAGATGGTGTTTCCTTGGCCTGAGAAGTGGTGGCCACTCTTCTTCAGGAGTCCAGGGAGTATGGGGGGGCAGGCTGCTCTGACCACCACTCCGTCTGGGGGCCGCTCATCATCGGGGGTGCAGTTGAGAGGGAACCGAGCTGTTCTGTGGTAACTGCGCCTCTTTTGACAGGAGGAAGGATGTTGAATGCCGGGAGTTCTTCAGGAAAGTCTTAAAGAGCCCTTTGTTCCAGCTCCTCATGATCAGCATCATCACCTCTAACGCCTTTTTCATGGTCTTGGGGACTGATTACAACATAAGGTACAAACTGTTCCGACTCTTTGAGGTGAGCTCACGGATGCTTTTCTTCTACTTTGCCTGTTTTGTTTCTGAAAATGCTAAAAATATTCCACAGGCATTTTGCTACAAGAAATTTTCTGTAGAAAAAAATTTAAAAGACCTTTGACCTCCAGGGAAGCATCAGGTAGTGGCAGGGGCAGGGGTATGATGTGACTGGCGAACCCTCTCTTTATACACAGAGAAAGTAGGTATCATATGCAAGGCTCATGGGCAGCGCCTCCTGGTCAACTAATGTCAGTCCCGTGTGGAGGACTCAGAGGGCACTAGGGGAAAGGTGAGCTGGGCCCAGGTGAGGCCAGCGCTGAGGTGAGGCCGGCCATTGCTGAGGTGAGGCCATTGCTGAGGTGAGGCCATTGCTGAGGTGAGGCCATTGCTGAGGTGAGGCCATTGCTGAGGTGAGGCCATCGCTGAGGTGAGGCTGGCCATTGCTGAGGTGAGGCCATTGCTGAGGTGAGGCCATCGCTGAGGTGAGGCCATTGCTGAGGTGAGGCCGGCCATTGCTGAGGTGAGGCCAGTGCTGAGGTGAGGCTGGCCATCGCTGAGGTGAGGCCATTGCTGAGGTGAGGCCAGTGCTGAGGTGAGGCCATCGCTGAGGTGAGGCCATTGCTGAGGTGAGGCCATTGCTGAGGTGAGGCCATTGCTGAGGTGAGGCCGGCCATTGCTGAGGTGAGGCCAGTGCTGAGGTGAGGCTGGCCATCGCTGAGGTGAGGCCATTGCTGAGGTGAGGCCATTGCTGAGGTGAGGCCATTGCTGAGGTGAGGCCATTGCTGAGGTGAGGCCATCGCTGAGGTGAGGCTGGCCATTGCTGAGGTGAGGCCATTGCTGAGGTGAGGCCATTGCTGAGGTGAGGCCATTGCTGAGGTGAGGCCATCGCTGAGGTGAGGCCATTGCTGAGGTGAGGCCATCGCTGAGGTGAGGCCATTGCTGAGGTGAGGCCAGCCATTGCTGAGGTGAGGCCATCGCTGAGGTGAGGCCAGTGCTGAGGTGAGGCCGGCCATTGCTGAGGTGAGGCCATTGCTGAGGTGAGGCCAGCCATTGCTGAGGTGAGGCCATCGCTGAGGTGAGGCCGGCCATTGCTGAGGTGAGGCCATCGCTGAGGTGAGGCCAGTGCTGAGGTGAGGCCGGCCATTGCTGAGGTGAGGCCATTGCTGAGGTGAGGCCATTGCTGAGGTGAGGCCATTGCTGAGGTGAGGCCGGCCATTGCTGAGGTGAGGCCGGCCATTGCTGAGGTGAGGCCGGCCATTGCTGAGGTGAGGCCATTGCTGAGGTGAGGCCATTGCTGAGGTGAGGCCAGTGCTGAGGTGAGGCCATCGCTGAGGTGAGGCCATTGCTGAGGTGAGGCCATCGCTGAGGTGAGGCCATTGCTGAGGTGAGGCCAGCCATTGCTGAGGTGAGGCCATCGCTGAGGTGAGGCCAGTGCTGAGGTGAGGCCGGCCATTGCTGAGGTGAGGCCATTGCTGAGGTGAGGCCAGCCATTGCTGAGGTGAGGCCATCGCTGAGGTGAGGCCGGCCATTGCTGAGGTGAGGCCATCGCTGAGGTGAGGCCAGTGCTGAGGTGAGGCCGGCCATTGCTGAGGTGAGGCCATTGCTGAGGTGAGGCCATTGCTGAGGTGAGGCCATTGCTGAGGTGAGGCCATTGCTGAGGTGAGGCCATCGCTGAGGTGAGGCCATTGCTGAGGTGAGGCCAGCCATTGCTGAGGTGAGGCCATCGCTGAGGTGAGGCCAGTGCTGAGGTGAGGCCGGCCATTGCTGAGGTGAGGCCATTGCTGAGGTGAGGCCAGCCATTGCTGAGGTGAGGCCATCGCTGAGGTGAGGCCGGCCATTGCTGAGGTGAGGCCATCGCTGAGGTGAGGCCAGTGCTGAGGTGAGGCCGGCCATTGCTGAGGTGAGGCCATTGCTGAGGTGAGGCCATTGCTGAGGTGAGGCCATTGCTGAGGTGAGGCCGGCCATTGCTGAGGTGAGGCCGGCCATTGCTGAGGTGAGGCCGGCCATTGCTGAGGTGAGGCCATTGCTGAGGTGAGGCCATTGCTGAGGTGAGGCCGGCCATTGCTGAGGTGAGGCTAGCTATCCAGAGCAAGAACTGTGCTGCTCACACCAGTAGTTAGTACAGAAGTTCCCAGTTACCTCCAAAGGGGCTGGGGTGATCCGGGGCTGAGGAGAACTGGCCTGGCAGGGTTCTCTCCAAAGGACGGTCAGGCACTTAGGAGGATGGAAGTAAGATTTAGCAAGCTGGAGACATAAATCAGGAGGAAATAGAATTCAAACAGTCCCCCAAATGAAGGTCCCGAGTTTCAGGACAGAAACTCAGTGGAATTAGAACATAAATTCTTAAATGTTAGGAAATGAATGTGGGATGAAAAGCGCACTAGGAAAGGTAAAACACCACACATTAGTGTAAGAAAACAGAGCAAGGAATCTGATCTAGAGGTAATTAAACCCACTGTAAAGATAAGCCTACAAAATCAGATAAGCACGATAACATCTAACCCTGGAGCAAAGCAATGTCATCAAGACATTGTAGGTGTGGGAAGGAAACAAAGTGGCAAAACTCAGGAAACAACTGGAAACCAAATAAAACCATTCCAAAACAAAGACTAAAGTAGCTAAAAACAGTCAAATACAATAGGCAGTAGCTTGAATTGGACTGAGGAATTAAAAACACTTCATTAAGAATGAAAGTGATGGAAAATGCTGAGGATTGGTGTTGAGGAAAAGACCCTGGATAAGGATGATAGGAACTCTTGTGTTTCAAATATCCAGGGATCAGAATGCTAAATGTCTAAACCCAAGAAAAATCACCCCAATCTGTATCGAAATAGTTCACACTGCACATCCAAGAATACAGACTCAACCCAGCCAACACCAGGGCGCTGGAGCCAAATGGTTGGGCTTCGTTGGGTCAGGGAAGCCCAGCTAGTGAATTCGCCATCACACTTCTCCATGGCTGTGCTCTCTGCCCAAAGATAGAAGAGTGGCATGCTCAGCTTCCTCAGGAAAGAAAATGTGAATCAAGAACGTCAGGTGACGGAAGGGACTCAGGGTTGATGAAAGGCAAACCCACAGATGTTCAGAAACACGGCGAGTCTCCTTCCCTGCTCTTCCTCACTTAAGACAGTCGCAGCGCAGCCCGGATGGCAGAAGCTTTTGGTGGTGAACATGGTGGGTGCAGTTGTTTGTAGAATAAAACTGTCATTTCACAGGAGAAGCGTAGCACTTAGTGAGTATGTTCTTTGATTCTAAGGCTGTAGCATGACTGGTAGAGCCATTTCAGAAAGTCGTAGCATGAGTTCTCTAAGGTCTCGTTAATCAAAACTCAGAGTCAGATATCAGGGGTGAGAGCTGAAGGACAGATGGGCAGAGTGACCAGCCGCTAGAGTCCTCACCTCCTCCAAAGCTCAGTCTGCCTCCTCAGACTGCACCTGTCTCTATGAACCTTCAGCTTTATAATCCCTGAGCTCCTGTCACCTCCCGCCTTATACTCCTCTCTCCACTCAGCCATGTCTCTCCTGTCTCCACCTCCCTAGTGCTGGGATTAAAGTCATGGGAACCCAAGGGCTGGGATCACCTTTGTGTGAGCTCTGTTTATCTTTAGACAGATTCAGTCTCGTGTAGCCCGGGGTGGCCTTGAACTCACAGAGATCCATCTGCCTCAGTCTCCAGAGTGCTGGGATGAAAGGTGTGGTCACCACTGTCTGTCCTCTATGGCTAACTAGTGGCTTAGCTCTGCCCTTGGATCTTCTTTATTTGTCAGATTACAAACAAAATGTCACTACAAAAGTCTTTTAAAACTTTTTTTTTTTTTGAGACATGGTTTCTCTGTGTATTCCTGACTGTCCTGGAACTTGCTCTGTAGACCAGGCTGGCCTCAAACTCACAGAGATCCACCTGACTTTGCTTCCTGAGTGCTGGTATTAAAGGTATGCACCACCACTGCCTGGCAAAACTGTGTTTTTTATTTTAATATTTTCTTTAATCTCTGATAATTTCATACATATATAATAAAATATGATCATATACTTGTTCCCTTTCCCCTCCAATTCCCTCCATATCCCTCCCAATATGCCTTAACCAAAAATTTATATCTTTGAAAAATTTTTGATGACCCACTAAGTCCAATCAGTGTGTAATTGCCCATAAGTGCCTGCAGCACGTTCTGGCCCTTGGAGAGCTGGCCAGCAGAGAGGGTGCTTCCTGGTTGGTTTGAGATGATTTCTCAATGTCCTGTGCCTTCTCTGCATCCTTCCCTCTGCTGAAAGTATGTGTTGTCTTCATCAATAGGGTTCTACCATGTGGACCCCTGTTAACGATCGCTTCAGTGGTGATGCACACGCTAGTGTTATCCCGAGACACTGTGAAATGTGTGATAAAGCACAAGGGTAATCGTGCTTTTTTCTCTTCTACTTATTTCTCCAGGGTAGAGGGTGTGCTCACACATAGTGGGCAAGCACTGGACCACCAACGTAACATCTTTCACCCAGGACAGCTTACATTTTGTTTGCATTCTTCCATCTTCTGTGTTGTTTGTTTGTGGCATTGATCTGTTTATAGCAAGCTCTTGTGTGTAAGCACACCCGAGCTTGTGTTCCTTTTGCTTTAGCATCCTGAATGCTGGGACCATCCTGTGCTACTGAAAATGAGGATGCTGGTGGAAGGGAGATGGAGATAAGTAGATGCCATTGGATTCAAAGTCCGTGGTTCTGTGTTTGCTTTGGAAATGCCGACATAAACAGCAGGGGTGTTTTGCTATCTTCACCAATGACTAGAACACCAACCCATTCAGCTGTGACACATTCTTGGTGCCTACGATGTGACCCAGAAACTGAGGCTTCGAGAAACAGCTGATCCTGGGAACTATGCTGGATCTTGTCATCTACCTTGTAAGGAAGCTGTCAGAGTTGTTTGTGCTCATAGAAGAACAATGCAGGAGATAATTTGGGGTTACTTCTGTTGGCTGAAGATGAGATGATAATAAGTACTATGGTTAGAAAATCCTCAAAGATTGAACCAAGGCCGAGGAGGTAAGGGACTAAGCTGTCCTCTTGAAACGGAAGTCACAGGAAAGAGTCCAGCTTTGCTGGTATTTCTGATAAACCCTAACCTTAATGAATCCTCTATTGTGCAACTGCTCATTCACAGTTCCTAACTGTTTGAGACAAGTTCTTGCTCTGCCGCCCAGGTTGGCTCCAAACTCATGAACCTTCTGCCTCAGCCTCCCAAGTATTGGAACTTCAGGTGTACCACTGTGCGTGGAATTTCTATAAAGTATTCCAGCTGACACATTAAAAAGAAACGACAGCATGCCACCACCCACCTTGACTGTGGGGAAGCCATGGACCTGGGCATTGAGCATCAACAGGAACCCAGCAGATGCTATGTGCCTGCTATGAAAGGAAGCATCTGCAGCCTTGCTTGTGATGGACCTGAGTGCGTTCTAGCTTTTGGAGCCATCTGCCTACTGCCAGGAGACTAGAATGTTCTTCAGTCACACTACTTGGATTAAAATATTATTTATGTGTATCTCTGTATGTAGGTGAATGCTGATGCCCAGTGGCCAGAAGGGGACGTCAGATCTCCTGGATCCCGAGTGACAAGCGGTCCTGAGCCACCTGATGAGGGTGCTGGGGAATGAACTCGCATCCTGTGCACGTGCTCTTAACCACTGATCCATCTCACAGCACTTGGAGTCCTTACCAGATAGTCTGCAAGGAGTTAAAAAAATAATGGGGGATTTATAAAAAATTTAGTGGTAAATACCAAGTTATCTGGGGACTATAGCCATAGGTTTCTATTATAAAGCACTAAATCTTAATGAATATAAGAAAGGTGAAATAATTGCCTGCATTTTATCTGATCTCAGTGGGAAATAAAACTACAAAGCAACAGCAAGAGAAGCTCATGGAGACCAAAGAGCCCACTATTGCACAGTGAATGGGTCCTTGAAGAAATCAAGGAGGATTTAAGCGCATTCCCTGAGTACTAGTGAAAATGAAAACACAACACATCAAACCCATGGTGTCAATGAAAGAATCCTAAAAGGGAAAGTTACAGCCCTAAGTGTCTGTATTGCACAATTGGATGGGCTAGAAGATGGATCACTGGATAAAGGTGCTTGTCCCACAAGCCTGGATGGAGTTCAATCCCTGGAACCCACAGAAAGGTGGGTGGAGTGGACCAGTGCCTTGACTCCCCTGGATGCTGTTGCTGTGACCCCCCCAACACAAATCCTTTCAAAATGATAAGAGAAATTAGGTTCCAGATTATGTATAGACACAACTCAGGGCACTGGGAAAACCATGAATAAAACCTAAAATTAGCAAATGGGAGAAATAATTGCCATCATGACAGAAATTAGTGAAATAAAAATGAATAAAACAAGATAAAGAATCAAAGAATTGCTTCCTTGAAAAGACAGATAAGATTAGAAAACCTGTAGGGTCAAAGCAGACAAAGGAGGCCCAAAGTAATAAAATATGGAGGAAAAAAGGGGCCATTACAATGGATCATAGTTACATCAAACCAAACCAAACCAGACCAAGTTCCTCTACTCCCACCAAAACGTGACCCAAGTTCAGGCTTCCTTGTGGAAGAGAGGACAGGCTCCATCCAACAAATTGTCCTCTGACAACCACATGCTCACTGTGCCTACACACACACACACACATACATACACATACACACACATACACACACATACACACACAAACACACCACATACATACACATACACAAACACACACACACCACATACACACACACCGCATACATACACATACACACCACATACATACACACACACACAGAGACACACAGACACACACAAACACACAGACACACACAAACACACACCACACATACATACACACACACACCACATATATACACATACACATACACCGCATACATACACATACACACACAAACACACACCACATACATACACATACACACACACCACACAATACACATAGAGACACACATACCACATACATACACATACACACACACACCACATACATGCACACATACAGAGACACACACCACACATACATACACATATACACACATACACACACATACACATACAAATACACACAACATACACACACATACACATACAAACACACAACACATACACACACACACACACACACCATCCAGACACAGTCTAATAATAAGCTAATAGGGGACTGGCACTGTACCTCAAGAGTAGAGGTCATCCCTAGTGTACACAAGCCCTGGGCTTGATCCCCAACATCTAGAAAGGAAAGGGAGAAAAGGAATAGGACAGGAGGGGCAGCAGGGGACGGGAGGGACGGCAGGGGACAGGAGGGGACAGGAGGGACGGCAGGGGACAGGAAGGGACAGAGGGACGGCAGGGGACAGGAGGGGACAGGAGGGACAGCAGGGGACGGGAGGGACGGCAGGGGACAGGAGGGACGGCAGGGGACAGAGGGGACAGAGGGGACAGGAGGGACGGCAGGGGACAGGAGAGGACAGGAGGGGACAGGGGGACAGGAGGGACGGCAGGGGACAGGAGGGACGGCAGGGGACAGGAGGGGACAGGAGGGACGGCAGGGGACAGGAGGGACGGCAGGGGACAGGAGGGGACAGGAGGGACGGCAGGGGACGGGAGGGACGGCAGGGGACAGGAGGGGACGGCAGGGGACAGAGGGGACAGGAGGGACGGCAGGGGACAGGAAGGGACAGAGGGACGGCAGGGGACTGGAGGGGACAGGAGGGACGGCAGGGGACAGAGGGGACAGAGGGGACAGGAGGGGACAGAGGGAGAGAAGAAAGAAAGTAAAGAGCTGCAGTGTAGGAGGAAGGCGCAGCATGGTAAATGAAAGCAAAAACAGGAGAAGGAAACAGTAAAAGTAAAAGCGGAAGTTAATGAAATAGAAAACAGATTCAGTCCCGGGAAAGCAAGCACAAAGCCCAGGTAAAGTAACTTTCTTCACGTGACAATAAAAAAGAAGACACTTTCAAAATCTGATAATTTGGCACAGGGTGGCTCAGTGGGTACAGGCGCCTGCCCTGCTGCCCAGCCTGACCACCTGAGTTTGATCTCCAGAACCCACATGAACAGGGACAGGACCGACTCTTGCAAGTTGTCCTTTGACCTCCACACACAGCGCTGTGACACCTGTCAGTGTCCTTGTACACACATGTGCAAAGCTAAATAAATAGAATGGGATAAAAGAAATTGTAACTTTAAAAAGAAAATCTGATAACTAATGCCGGTACATTTGAAAACCCAGCTGGAACAGTTTTCTAGAAAAGCATTTACAAACCTGCTCTCTGTAAGAAAATAAAAACCTTCAAACTCTGAACAGCCATCACATGACCTTCCAACTAGAAAGTCTCACATTGAAGTCCGACGCCCCCACCCGCTGAAAACCAGGCTAATCTGGACTGAAGGTTTTACACACTTGGGAGGATTGTCTAATTCTAGACATAAACGCCTCCATTTACTCCATACATGGGCATCCCAGCCCCACCCACGACCTCATGGAGCTAATTCATGCCCAACGGTAGACAGGGGCTGTGTGAAGGAGAAAAGCGACATCCAGGGCCATGAAACCTGTCACAAACTCTCAGAGAGCCAGGAAACGATGCAAACACCCGAAAAAGAGAATGGCCATGTCCAAGCTCCACTTTTCCGAAACCGCACTCCTTTACCTCACCGCAAGCTCATCCAAAGACCTGCATCTCGCCAGGTGCAGTGTTTGAAACCAGGGGCTGCTTGGATGTCTCTCCCCGTTCATTCTGGGTCAACGTATAACCCACCCGCTATGCAGAGCCCTTCTCACATTCCTTGCCTGGGTGACTGTCCCTCCCTGCCCCCTACCTTGCTCCTGCCAGCTCTCCTGACGTCTCTTCTACTGTACAGGGGCTGAGATCCTATCGCTCCCCAGCTCAAAGTTCCCCAACACTGGCATCTGTCTTGACCATTTATTTCCCACTGCCTAAAACAGGGCTTTTCAGTCGTGGGTGAATGAATATTAGATGACAAATGGACTTTGATGAAGAGGAAACTCTTAGATGTCTTTAGGAGGACCCCTTGGCAATCATAGAGCCATCAGAGTTGTAGGCATGGGAGTATTTGGAGGAGATCAGTTCAAATCGGGGGAAAAAAACAAACATATGTCCTTCAAAAACAGATGACTTTAGTTGACTGGTCTTTCTGTATGACGAAGGTAATAGATTAAGTATAACTATATATTTGTATATTTTTCTTTAAAAGTATATATATTCATGATGGCCAGAAAACTTGTGACTTTCTTTTGGGGAATAGTCGTCAGGTAGCCTGCTATGTTAAATATTGATCAGGCTTGTAAGTATAGCCATTTATAGCCATCTGCCAGCTACAGTGCAGTCGGTCAGTCATGCCTTACATCTAGGGGAAACCTAATCCTAGCCTTAGCGCCACAGGCAAGGAAGCCTCAGAAGGGGACAGGACCCAGGCTTGGTAATAGAGCTGGGGGTCTGCCTAGGCCCCACACCTGACTGGGTGGGGTCTGTCTGGGTCCCACACTGACTGGGTGGGGTCTGTCTGGGTCCCACACTGACTGGGTGGGGTCTGTCTGGGTTCCACACTGACTGGGTGGTCTCAGCAGGGAGGGGCCAGGACTATGGGGCTCTACACTTGTTTTGATCTCTTAATCCCTGTGACCCCTGCAGGTCTCAGAGATTCTCTTTGTCTCCATTTATACCTGTGAGTTCTTCATGAAGGTCTATGTGGACCCCACTAAATACTGGAGGGATGGCTATAACCTACTGGATGTGGCCATTATCCTTATTATCTTGATACCCTATACCCTCCGCAAGATCAAGGGAAGACGCTACAGATACCTCCACATTGCTGATGGCATACAGTCTCTGCGAATTCTCAAGCTTATCTCCTACAGCAGAGGCATCAGGGTGAGTACCGTGTGTGTGTGTGTGTGTGTGTGTGTGTGTGTGTGTGTGTGTGTGTGTTAGAATGACTACTCAGACATGGTAGTGCATGCATTTAATCCCAGTACTTGAGAGGGAGAGGCAGAAGGATCTCTGTGAGTTCAAGGCCAACCTGGTCTACAGAGTGAGTTCCAGGATAGCCAGGGCTGCCCTGAGAAACTCTGCCTCAACAACAAAATAAAATAAACAAATAAAAAAACCAAAACCTCACTCAGAGAGTGAGAGACAGAGAGAGAGACAAATGCAGCCCTGAGAAAACCAAGCAATGGCCAGGCCAGGAGAACCTGCCCTGAGGAGGCAACCTGGAGAAATGCCTGTCAGACAAGTAACAAGAGGTTGTTAGCAACATCAGAGAGGCTGGTCACTCAAGAGAAGGGGAGAGAGCAGTTCAGGAAGTGGGGCAGGAAGTACAGATACCATTCCCCGGAAGCCTGGCTTGGAATCGGAGAGGAGGCCTGAGCACACACATGTGCATACACAGGTGTGTGACTACACTAGGGATGAGGCTGTGGGTGTGTGCCGGGGGACAGCTCGCATTTAGGGCCCAGGCACACCCTGACTGGACAGATACACAGCAGACCCAGACAAGCCTCTTCCTGGAGAGCAGACACCTGGGCAAGCGTGGGCTCAGGGGGCCTAGCTGTAGGGTGGGTTGAGTATGAGTCAGCCTTGAGACCTGTTCCGAAATGTTCTGGAGAATGTTCAGGAAGACGGTGGGAATGGTGCCTCCGGAGTGGCCTTACCAACATCAACATGAGGGGACCTTCCCCATCAAAAGAGCATGGCAGCCAGAGGTCAGAGCTGCCCGGCACTGGTTAACCCTGGCCCACAGCTCACAGCCAGCTGCACCATATGAAAGGCAGCGGGCAGGGCATGGAGAGGGAGGACGGCTCAGGGTGGCCTGTGCAGCCAGACACAGCTTTCAGAGCTTGGCCTTGGCGGTTCATTCATTTTTTCTTTGCCTGTACATTTGTATATCTGTGCCTGGTGCCTGTGGAAATCAGATCATCTAGACCTGGAGTTACAGCATGTGGGTTCTGGGACCTGAACCTGTGTCCCCTGTAAGAGCAGCCTGTGCTCGACTGCTACACCATTTCTCTGGGCAGGAGAGCCTTGGCATTTAATGGCAAGCAGCCTTGTACCTCAATTTATTCATCTGTAGAGTGAAGCTAATCATGCTTTCTTACTGGTTTCAAGACCAAGTTCATATTGGTAAAGACCAACCCGCCTTATGGTCAGACAAATTAGCAGGAGGTAACATTATTTCTTTTGTTTTGTTTTTCTGAGGCAGGGTTTTTCTGTGTAACTGCCCTGGCTGTCCTGGAACTCACTCTGTGGACCAGGCTGGCCTCGAACTCAGAGATCTGCCTGCCTCTGCCTCCCGAGTGCTGGTATTAAAGGCATGAGCTGCCCAGATTGTCAACTGAAGTCTACAGGATCCCCTAACAGATGAGCAACCTCGGTCCTCAAAGCTAGTTCTTAGTTCCTGACCCCTAATCATTGAAATGTCAATTCCGCCACGTCATGGTTGCTCGTCTGTTACACGAGGCCGGTTCCTTGGCTTTTCACACAGAGCCCTGACAGACAAGCACCCAGCTATCGGGGCACCATTGCCTCTGCTCACCGCATTCCAGCCTGGAGCCGCCACCTCCCGCTCCTGATGCCTGAGCCTAGTCCTTTCCCCACATCCAAGGTGCTCTGGAGGATGCTTCCTCCGTGTCCTGGGCCTGGCCACCTGTTCTGCTCCAAGGCACCCAGAAGTCCCCAGGGCTAAGAGGACAACAATGGAGTCAGAGCTAACTGGTACTAAGAACTGATTCTCCTAGCAACTGGGAAGTCCAAAGGCGAGGCCGCTTTCCCGCTAGACCACAGAAGTCAAAAGGCCAGGGCTTCAGAGACGAGGCCCCACCCTCCAGACTGAGTTTCTGTATCAGCGCTCGATGCTGGAACCCGGTGGGCTTGTGCTCGAAGAACGTGGCCTTAAGTGGGTGGCAGGGTCCTTGCAGAGAGCGTGACCTCTTTTCCTCTGGCTCAGTTGTGACCTCAGGTGCCACTGGTCCACAGCTGGCTCAGAGCTAAGAGCCACTTCCTGAGCCCTGTGTAGGTTCTACCGCTGAGCACACTGGCTTCCGGCTTCCACTGATGTCACAGGTGTGCCATGGCCGTGGCGCTCCGTGTCTCCCACTGTCTTAGGCTTTGTGTTAGTTAGCTTTCTGTAACTGTCACCAGAATTCATTGAGAGGACAACTTAAAGGAGAGAACTTATTATGTGCCACATCCATGCAAGGCTCCAGGGATGGATCTGATTCAGGCAGTGAGGGAGCGAAGAATACATGACACAGACAGACACACAGACAGATGAGCAAGGGTCAGAGTACTGCAGGCCCAGATGGAGACACACAGACAGACAGACAAGCAGGAGTCAGTGTAGTGCAGGCTCAGATGGACACAGACAGACACACAGACAAGCAGGAGTCAGTGTAGTGCAGGCTCAGATGGACACAGACAGACACACAGACAGATAAGCAGGAGTCAGTGTAGTGCAGGCTCAGATGGACACAGACAGACACACAGACAGTCAAGCAGGAGTCAGTGTAGTGTGAGCTCAGATGGACACAGACAGACACACAGACAGATAAGCAGGAGTCGGTGTACTGTGAGCTCAGATGGACACAGACAGACACACAGACAGATAAGCAGGGTCAGTGTAGTGCAGGCTCAGATGGAGACAGAAACTCAGCTCCGAGTATGGATAATATAGAGGTGAACAGAGTGGCGGCGTTATTGCACACAGCCAGACAGGAACGTGAAATTACTGTGTACAGATAAACAAGGAAGCAGGTTGCTCAGCTGATCAAGGGCGCAGGTCTTGCTAATCCCAGTAGGAGCAATATGGGCAAGCAGCTTTCATCTGTGAACATCCCAGGAATGGACAGAAAGCTATGGTGGACATTTTCTGCACACTGTCAACATCCACACTCGGACCAGAGGAACGCTCACGCCAGGGGGAGGTGTTATCATTCCTCCACTAGTCTGAGGTGTGGTTGTGCCCAGTCAATAGCACACATTTTCCCACTATTCCACCCAGGGCTTCCTCTGCTCTTGCTCTCTGTAGTTTTGGTTCACGATTTTAATGTCCTTCGTTCTGTTAGCTGGCATGTGGCAGGGGTACTCACCTGAAGTGTCCAGCATATGGTAGAGGGTACTGACCTCAGTCCTGTGTGTGGAGGAGGGTGTGGGCGAAATATTGTTTATGATCTAATGAAACAAGCTGAAGATCAGAAAAGCAAAGCAGCCAGGCCAGTAGCTCTCACCTCTGTCTCCGACTGAAGTGGGTGATCCTGTCTCCACCAAACCTCAGACTGCAATCTCCTCAGTTTCTGTCTCCTTTGGCCTTACCTTCCTTCTCCACCCAGCCATGTCTCTCCTGTCTCCATCTCCCTAGTGGGAGTAAAGGCGTGGGATCCCAATGCTGGGATCACCTTTGTGTGAGCTCTGTCTCTCTCTTTTTTCCCTGTCTGGACAATCAGCCAATCAGTGTTTTATTCATTAACCAATAAGAGAAACATATATACAGAAGGACATTCCCATCACCCCTCTTCTCTGTCTAAATAAAAAGGGTTTTAACTTTAACATAGCAAAATATATAACAAAAGTTATCAAATAAGAACTATAGTTAGCAATATTTAGTCCATTAACATTTAGCAAAATTTAAAGAAAATATTCTATCATCTATCCTATCTTTGTGAGTCTCAAGTCGTATCTGTAACTTATCTTTAATCTTAACTAAGGAAAACTATAACCATAACTATCTGTCTTCAACTCCATCAAAGACCTGAGAAGGATAGTATATAAACTCTAGAAATGACAGAGACATCTTGCGGCCTGGACAGTCATTCAGAGTTCCTCTGTAATGTTCCATCATCAGCCCATAGGTCACTGTGTGTCTGACAGACTTCTCTCAGTGAAGCAGGAAACTTTAAACTGTCCGCCTGTATTGGCAGTTTGTCAGTCACTTCTCTCTGAGTCCTGAAGAATGTCTGCCAGACTCTTCCATGAAGCAGGAACTCTACAGCAATGTCCATCTTGTTTCAGCAGTCACTTTCCTGTGGGTCCTGCATGTCCAGTTTGGACATAAAGTCAAACAGTCCAGGCAAGAGCAGTTTCTTGCCCAAATGGGTAGTCTTGCCATATTGAAAGCAAACTCCATAACAAGTTTCTTCAGTGCCCACCTTCCTCTCTGAAATAATTGGTGATGCCAGGAGCAGTTGTGTCTCATTGTCATGAAAAACCCTAAACCATTTTAAATGCCATATTCTGTAGGTCTTTGAAAGGTTTGAAGACTATCTATCCATCTCAAATATATCTCTATATATCTAGAAAACCTAACTAGCATAACTGTAAGTTTTGGCTATTATAGGTGACAATAATCTGTAATTACACATTACACATTACACATTACATTTTTTAATGAGCTAAACAAGGGGAGAAATATACAATCACAAAGTTGACCAATGCAAAGTATTCATTTCTAGATCATATTCCCCCTTTTTTTCCTCTTAAGAAAGAGATTGACTGTGATCATTGGCCATTTAAGTGAAAACAGTTATTTATAAACAATATTCGGGAATTTGAGCATCATTATCTCCAAACTGCTTCCTGCTCTTTGGGGGTGCTATTAATACCATGGGGATCCTGAAAAAAAAAAAACCCAGAAACCTGGCCAGATCCTGACTGTACTAATGTGTAAGGCTGTATTGTCTCAGCTGTTTTAGATGTTGGATCACCTGGGCCGTTGCTTCAGGGGGTCTTACTTGATCAACCATAATAGTCTGGAAGGAATCCACAGCTTTTCATTTTCTGTGGAAACCCAAGCAAAACCTCAGAGAAGGGTCTGGACCTCTGACTCCTTTGGCAGCTCACATGGTGACTGCTAAGCGTCTCTGCAGAGAAGAGACCTGTCTGTCTTTTAGACTGGATCAATTTTGTATAGCTCAGTGTGGCCTTGAACTCCCAGAGATCCGTCTGCCTCTGTCTCCCAAGTCCTGGGATTAAAGGTGTGCTCCACCACTGCCTGGCTCTATGGCTATGGCTAACTTCCATCTCCAGCTGTTTTATTAGAACATAGCTATCACGGCAGGAGGGTCCTCTCTCCTCGGCTGCCCAGTGTGTGGTGAGGCAGACCGGAAGCAGAGGGAGGAGTTCGGGAGGGGCTGGGGCAGCATCCCCAAGCATGTGCCTTCGGTGCTCTGCTGCCCTCAAACATGCTTCTTTTCCCGTCCCCCGCCCCAAATACTGTCATACTGTGACTCTCGATTATGCCAGAGACCATCCCCTCCGAAGAAACCCATCAACTCTTTGTGGAGCCCAAGTACATGAGGGCTGTGGGAGCGGTTCATAATAGCTTTGAGAAGGGTCCATCTATCTCTCCTTAGCCAGGGGGACAGGCTTGTCAAACCTCCGTTCTTCCAAATGAATTTGAAAACACTGCTCTCATTCCCCAGGGGCATTTAGGGCAGTGTACTTCCCTGAGGTGACCTTGCCACCTCCAAGCTGTCTTCCTAGTGCTAAACCAGTCTTAGGGGCCACTGTGCTCAGGGTCGCTGGTGATTAGAGGTAGTGGCATGGGGGAAAGGGTGTAGCAGCCACTCCTCACTCTGCCCTTGTATTGTGACCAGGACAAATGGTCCTCTAAGCTGCTGACCCTTCACCCCGGGTACTAGCCACCTGTTTGAAATTGTCTGTGTCTTAGTCAACGTCCTATCGCTGTGAAGAGACGCCATGACCAGGGCAACTCTTACAAAAGAAAGCATTTCATTGGGGGCTCGCTCACGGTTCCAGAGGTTTAGTCCATTATCTTCATGGTGGGGAGCATGGCACAGGCCCAGTAGGCATGGCTGTGGAGAAGTAGTTGAGAATTACAGCCTAATCTTCAGGCAAAAATAGAGACTAGGCCTGGCTTGTGCTTTTGAAACCTCAAAGCCCATCTCCAAGTGGACATACCTCTTCCAACAGGACCACACCTCTAATCCTTCTAAGTCTTTCAAATAGTGCCACTCTCTGGTGAATACGGAGTATATGAGTTTATGGGGGCCTTTCTTATTTAAACTACCACATTCCACACTTCCTGGCTTCCATAGGCTTGTAGCTATAACATAATACAAAAATGTATTCAGTACAACTCCAAAAGTCCCCAGAGTCTATCACAGTGTCAACACCGTTTAAAAGTTCAAAGTCTAGCTTGAGACTGCTGGCATTCTCTTAACTGTAACCCCCTATGAAATCAAAAAAGCAGATCACAGACTGCCAATATACTTTGGCACAGAATATACATCACTATTTCAAAAGGGGGGAAAGAGAACATAGTGAGGGAATCCTGGACCAAAGCAAGACCTAAAATCAGCAGCGCAAACTCCAAATTCTGCAACTGCAATCAGATGCCAAAGGGCTCTTCAAACGGTCAGCCCCTTTCAGCTTTGTTGACTGCAACACACTCCCCTCTCTTGGCCTGGGTTCACTCCCTGTGAGCAGCTCTCCTCAGCAGGCAGCCCGCAACTCTGGCATCTCCAACATCTTGGCGTCTCCAGAGCAACCCGGGCTTTACCTTTACAGCCCTTCCTGGGTCTTCATGCAGGCATATCCCTGACACATGCCTGGCCTCAGCAGCTTTCCTCAGACACAGACTCTATAGCTTCTACCTTGTATCCTTGACTCTAAATCCAGAGCCACATGGCCAGAGCTGCCAACTTGTTCCTGCTTGCTGGGTCTAGAACATAGTCCTCCCTTGTTCAACTATATCTTCACCGGCTTTCTGTTTTCCGTGGTTTCCTTCACTGCCTAACCTCGGCTGTCCTGGAACTTGCTTTGTAGACCAGTCTGGTCTTGAACTTAGAAATCTTTTAATTACATATTCACCAGCTTTCTGTTTTTGATGGTTTCATTCTCTGCTTAAACTTTTCTTTGACTCGTTTTCACAGGTCGGAAACTTAGCCAGCAGAGGTCTTCACCCCCTTTATTCCTTTAGCATCAGGCAAACTTTAATCTCCTTGGGCGCTGGCGTTGGTGCCATCGCTCCTCGGTAACCCTTTTCCCCGGCACACTGTACGTTTTGTATCTGCCCTTTCCCCGCTTGCTCCGTTTGGCATAAGTCACCATTGGTAACCGTGTGACACAGTCAATAATAGGCTGTCTTGAAATCTCCCTTCCAACACCATTGATCTAACCGCCCCATCCTCTACCCCTTGCTCCCCCCCCTTTAACCTCAGGCAAATTTTTAGGACAAAGGCAAACATTCTTTGCCAAAATATTAAAATAATGGTCTCTGGGCCACTTGCTAATATTCTTTCCCTCCAGAACTTCGTGAGCTAGGCCCTCATGGTTCAAATGGCTCTCAACACTGTCGTCTTCCATGATCCTACTAGGGTGGCCCATCAAGGTCTACTTAGTGTCCAACCACTTCCTAGTTCAAACTCTCAAAGTTTCCCACGTGCCTCCAAAAACCAGCATGGTCAGGCCTGTCACAGCAATGCCCCAGACCCTGGTACCAACTCCTGTCTTTTTTATTTTCTTTTTTCTGGGTTTTCAGGACAGGCTTTCTCTGTGCAGTCCTGGATGTCTTTCTCTGTAGACCACACTGGCCTCAAACTCAGAGATCTGCCTGCTTCTGCCTCTCACTGTACCATCAGCACCCGGCATCAACTTCTGTCCCAGTCAATACCATGAAGAGACACCATGACCAAGGCAACTCTTTTTTTGTTACTTATACATTTATTATATTTCATTTTAACTGACACAGGACATAAATGAGTACATATAATACTGGGATAATATGTGATCTGTTAATATATATGTAAGATGTTCAAACCAAGACACAGTTATATATCTCCTTAATTGTTATCATATTCAGTCTTCTTCCTTTTAGCTTTTAGAGAGACATAATACAGTACTACAGTCTCAATAGTAATTCTACAGAATAACACCATCCCCAAATTACTTATTATGTAATGGCAACTTAACACTCATTGGTTAGTGTTTTCTCTACTTTCCCTCACTAGCGCCTGGGAATCGCCACTCTTCCCTAAACTTGTATGAGATTATCTTTTTTTTATTAATTTATTTTTTGCATTCCAATCCTAGTTCCCCCATCTCCTTTCCTCCTCCCCCCTCCTCCTCCCGTCTGCTCCTTGGAGAGGGTAAGGCCTCCCCTAGGAAGTCTACTAAGTCTGCCCCATCATCTCATTAAGGCAGGACCAAGGCACCTCTCCACCCCCCACACCCCTGTGTCTAGGCTGGGCAAGGTATCTCTCCATATAGAATGGGCTCCCTGTGGAAACTCTTATAAAAGTAAGCATTTAATTAGGGGCTTGCTTATAGTTTCAGAGGGTTAGTGTAGGCGAAGTTTTCCTATCTCAGCAGCTGCTTCCAAATTACCGTGCAGAGGCTTATATTAATTATAAATGCTCATCCAATAGCTCAAGCTTGTTACTGGCTAACTCTTACACTTAAATTAACCCATATTTCTTTCTTCTTCTTCTTTTTTTTTCCCCCCTTTGGTTTTTGGTTTCTTGAGACAGGGTTTCTCTGTGTAGCTCTGTAGACCAGGCTAGCCTTGAATCTACAGAGATCCACCTGCCTCTGCCTCCTCGGTGCTGGGATTAAAGGCGTGCGCCGCCACTGCCCAGATTAACCCATATCCCTTGTGAGTACTTTTCGATGTGGTTTGGGACCTTTTCTCAGGATGTCATGCCTTTCTTCTTTCTGCATCTGCTGGCAACCGTCGGCCCCGCCCTCCTCCCTCTGGTCACTCTCAGTGTGACTGCCCCAGCTAACTTCCTGTCAGCCTGCATGAACCAATGACAGTAATGTGTATTCACAGCGTGCAGAAGGGTTAGTCCACAGCAGGAGAGGGCATGGTAACAGGGGCAGCGGGCAGAAAGACAGTCTGCAGCTGCTGTGGGCTTCTGAAACCTCAAAGCCCACTTAGTGACACACCTCTTCCAACAAGGCCACGCCTCCTAAGCCTTCTAATCCCCTGGCGACTGAGCACCAAGTATATGAGTTTATGGGGGCCTTTTTTTATTCAAAGCACTACAGCGAAAGAAAGCATCCTCCGAAGGTCAGCGTTGGTGAGGCGCACACTCAGTGCACGTCTCAGCATGGTAACTGAGCAATGAATGCCTGGAGCGCTCCAGGGACAGCCAAGGGAAGGGCAGACAGGGGAGTTACCCATTTTACAGGAGGGAGATGAAGGTCGTAAGGTGGGAGCCACCTGTGAGGTGAGGCCCAGAAAGAGTGGGGAGCCATTGTCCTCTTGGCCCTCTCTCTCTGCCCTCAGGTACATGATGGTGTCCCTGTCCCTCCTGGGCCCGGTGGAAAGAACATTTGGGGCTGGCTCTCAGCAGAGAAGCATAAATGCAATATCTAGGGATGACCACAGACTCAGAGAGGTCACTGGGGCAGATGCAAAGGTGACTCAGACCGGAGACCGTGTGTACAGTTCACCCGTGACATGGGGTGGGCACCACTCTGGAACTGATGTAGCCCTCTGTGGCACAATTCTGATCGGTCGTTCAGCTGACACCACCATGCGTCGGGCATGGCTGGAGATCCCGAGGGCAGCTGTGAACTGGGTAGGCTGGACAGCACGCTGTGGCTCGGCCAGGAGCTCTTGCCTAGCTGCGGTACCCTCGTTGCAGACGCTCATCACTGCCGTGGGGCAGACGGTCTACACGGTGGCCTCTGTGCTGACTCTCCTCTTCGTCCTCATGTTCATCTTCGCCATCCTGGGATTCTGCCTGTTTGGAATCCCAGAGAAGGGTGACCTGAATAACTGGGGGAACCTGGCTGCCGCCTTCTTCACTCTCTTCAGTCTGGCTACGGTAGGTACTGCATTTGGGAACTGTGGCGAGGGCAGAACTGGAGAGGGACTGTCTAGGAAGGGGGAGCATGCGGATGCTGGGCCTCTTTCGGGGCCTGCCCCACATTCAGGTGCTTATTAGTGGGCACAGGGAGCTGGGGTTGGCATGCTGGGGCTAGTCAGAGGCCAGTGGGTTCCATTTCTGTCTCTAGCCCTGTGATTTTATAAATCATTCCATGTGTTGCCCAGGGTAATAAAACTTGCTAGAATTCTCAAATGATACTTAATTTGGATTAACCTTAAGTTATACGTGAAGCCCACAGCATACTGCTTTTTTTTAAAAAAAAAAAAATAAACTGTCACAGATCCACCCAGAATAAGCAAAGCCCAACTCTTAAAGTCTAGACTTTTGAATTATATAAATATTGGCATTTAAAGAGATTGTTTTGCTTTTATTTTTTATAAAGAAGGGCCTGGAAATAGCCCTGTGCATTTTAGGAGAAAATGGGAGGTCTTGAGAGAAGAGACTCGCTTAGGCACGTAGGCTTGCAACTAGTGGTACCTTACATTTCAGCTGGCGGTTGGGGAGGTGCCTAAGGGCTGATGTGGAGACTGAATTGGCAACCGCCTCAGAGGGTTTGCCACTCCTATAGCAGAGGTGACATGGGATCCTACTCTGCTGGGTCTCTGCGCTCAGTATACCCTGTCTCGCCTGACCAGGTTGATGGCTGGACGAACCTGCAGGAACAGCTGGACAAACGCAAGTTTACTGTGAGCCGGGCATTCACCATCATCTTTATCTTGCTTGCTTCCTTCATCTTCCTCAACATGTTCGTGGGTGTGATGATCATGCACACGGAGGTGAGGCTGTGCTTGTAGTGCACGCATGAGTGTGTGCCTGTGCGTGTGCACACGTGTGCTGTTCAGGTTGGGTGTGGCAGGTAGAGGCAGGTTTCTTAGACAAGCTGGTCTTGTGTCTTTCTTATGAAGTGATGTGGAGTAGCCAGATGACCCCTCTCATGTGTCAGGTGACTCTTATCGCAAAGTTCATCACATCATGACGGGATCAGCAGGCCAGTGGGGTGGGCTTAGGAAGCCATTGCATCTGCAGGTGGCAGCTTGGGCTGGGGGCTGGCCCTGTGTGTGGTGGGCCCTTCTGCCAAGGCCTGAGCTTAAGGGAAAGCTAGGCAAGGAGGAAGGCTGGGGATGGAAAGGGTGCCGAAGAGGGACCACGATCTTGACTTGTACACTCTGCCTTGCTAGGACTCCATCAAGAAGTTTCAGCGGGAGCTGATGGTGGAGAGACACCTGACGCTTATAGAGGAGAAGCAGATGATTCTCAGGCGCCAGCAAGAGGAGGTCAACAGACTGATCAACACACAGGCAGGTGGCCCCACTGGAGAAGTGACAGACAGGCGGATAGACAGACAGACGGACAGACAGACAGGCAGCAGAATGGCCAGGAGGAAGAACTTTGGACTCAAGTAGAGGTTGGGTGGGCTCAGGCACATGTGGCTTCAGGTAAGACAGACCTCTTCCCTTGCAGCCACGAGAGCCATGCTTGCCTTTCTGTGTCTGAGTGTCTCCCTGAGCAATTTGGACTGCTGAGTAGTGTGGTTAGGTCTAACGCTTCCTTCTTGGGGAATGGCTTTCCACTATGGGGTACTTTCGGGCTAGAGTGTCTTTCTGAGTCTCTCTAGTACCAGGCAGCTTGACTCCAGGCCACTGTTGGGGTGTCACTCAACCTCATATCCCCCACTCCTAAAACCAGGGCAAGAATAAGTGCAATGGGCTGGAAGTCTGTGAAGTCTGGTGCCAGACTTAGGGACCCTGCTAGGTCCCTTGTCTGTTAGTGTTTCTCCCAAGATGGAGATGCCTGCCAGTCTAGCTAAGTCCCATGTTTGTTCAGTGTTGGAGGAGACCACACAGAATCACGCTCAGACATTCTCTTTATACGCTTGGCCTCACACCAGGGATGGTGGTCCATGAGACTGTTTTGTTCTGACAGGGTCTGGGCTCAGTGGTCAGGATGATCTTGGGACCCACGGGGTTCTCAGGTCTCTGTAGCTTGGCTGCTCATGTCACTGATCTTCCATTTCTTCTCTCTCTAGAAAAGCGGTGGCAAGAACTTCACTGAGCTGGTGGAGGAATTCAAGAAGACCCTACGGCACACGGACCCCATGGTCCTGGATGAATTTGGCACTAGCCTCCCCTTCATTGACGTCTACTTGTCTACCCTGGACAACCAGGACACTACTATCAACAAGTGAGTCACTGGTCCCCGCGGTTCTTCAAGGCCAGGGCAGCCTGCAGATCCAGGGGACTGAAGAGTTGGGCCCAAGGTGCAGGGTGGATGGGTACACAGAGCCCCTTCCCCGGGAGTACAGAGCCCATGTGTGCCTGGGCGCTGGGCTGTGGTGTGCATGGGTCTGTGGTGGAAGGGACTCTGCCCTGTGGGCCTTCCCAACTCTTTCATTTGTACCCAGGTGTTAGCCTCCCTCATCTCTTCAGGCTCCTGCTCACTAACACTGTCCATGGAGCAGGGAATGTGTGTGGGAACGGCAAGTCAAGTGCAGAAGAGGGTCCTAGCTTGGTTCTGCCAACATCTTCCCATGTCTCTTTGAACAAGTGTCTGCCCTTTTCCTGCCTGTCACACAAGGAGAGCCACTGGGCCAGTTAAATGGGATCTGACCCAGGTCTTATTCTCAGTGCACGCTAGCTGGGGTTTTGGTGGGCAGCTGAAGAGCCGTGGAGAACAGGGAGCTAGTGTGGAGTTCCCAGCAGAGCAGGCATCGGAAGCCTGACTTCTCTATGAAATCCCTCTGGAGGCCTCAGAGACTAGGGGGACTGGAAGGGAGGGATCTTGGGAGCATCCTCATTGGGTCCAAAATCAGACCAGGTATTGTTTAGGTACCACCACACCATTCCTGCTTGCAGAGTCCAGGGTTTTGTTATGGACATGACCCAGGAGATAAATTAACTTACGTCAGGGCCTTCAGCAGAGTGACAGACAGGACCCCAGCATATCTGAAGTCTTTGTTCTCTTCTGGCCCACACACACCTGGTGGGTATGGTGACTTCACAGGTCCTAGGCTGTGGTCCCCATCTTGCTGCTCTCTCTAGGCTTCAGGAACTGTACTATGAGATTGTGAACGTGTTGTGTCTGATGCTTGAAGACTTGCCCCAGGAGAAGTCGTCCCATAGCTCGGAAATCATGATGTAGAGGTATTTGGGCACGTGTGGCCTCAAAGGCCGTGGCAGGTCCATTAAACTCAGGCTTTCATAGACCGCTTCTCCAACTTGTTACAGGGTTGATGTTGGTAGCATCCATCTTTGGGGGATAGGTCTGGATAAGTGCTCATGAAAGTTGATCCCCCCAGGACCTTGGGAGTGGAAAGATGGGGGTTCAAGATCACCCTGGCTTATGCCTACATCCTGAAGCTTCTCTAGAGCCAACGGCAAGAGCCCACTGAGCTCCTGAGGAAGCTGCCGGAAGACCACAGCCAACAAGAGTGTCACCAGCTCTGCCACTCATGGGCCCCTCCTCATGACCCCGGAGGCTGACCTGTGCAGGTGCCCCAGTCTGACAGAGAGTCTCTTTGGAAGTCCACATTAATTTCCCCCGGGGTTCATGCCAGGGCATGTGTGTGAAGATTACATCATGCTGTTCTGCCTAGGGGAGCCGCCTACTGGCCATGCTACGTGTTAGAGCTCCTGGAGTCTGGCTCTTCAGACGTCTTCCCTCCCGTGGTTGGTTAAGACTCTCTATTTAGATGGTGGCACTTTCTGTCTCGCTACTGGCCAGACGTCTCTTGGAGGTGAGAAAGTGCTAGTATCACCCTGCACAGTCACAAGAGGCCCATCTGCAGATCCCCAGGGCAGCAGCGCCTCTTGCTCTAGGCTGGTGGCTTCCACTTTCTTCTCATTGTTGTAGTCTATGCTAGAGGCCTGTCACCTAGGCCAGAGAGGAAAGTAGGTTCTGAGGAAAGCTGTGGAGGGGGACTGGTACCCACCGCTGGGTACCAAAGGCCCAACCATAAACTAAGGCCCAGACAGAGACATAGAGCAGGTAGACTGTCTAGGAAGTGGTTCTCAACCTAGTCCCTACCCCTTTGAGCGGGTGGGATAACCCTTTCACGGTGGTCCTCTGAGATATCCTGTATATCAGATACTTAAACTACGATTCGTAACAGTAGCAAAATTACAGTTATGAAGTAGCAGTGAAAATAACTTATGGTTTGGGGCCTCCACAGCATGAGGAACTGTGTTAAAGGTTCACAGCTTTAGGAAGGTTGAGAACCACTGCTACAAAGGGTTCCATGGTTGGCTGTCATGGGAAAGCAAATAGGCTGATGGATGTTTATTCAGGGAAAAAAAAAATCACAGAAGAAACAGATGATCACCAGCAGGTTCCCATCCCAAGGATGCCTCTGTCTCCAATCAGGAAGCAAGAGAGAGCTGTGGTCCTGGACCCCAGACCTAGTCCCCCCCAGGTCACGCCCACACCTGTCCCCACCCCTAATGGGTGTGGTCAGTGCAACAGTGTGAGCAGGGTGGATATCTCATTACAGTTGGCTAACGGGCTTTGGGTTGAGTTGTGGTGCCCTGAGGCCAGGGCCCTAGGACAGGAGAAGGAACCTTTCCTCGTGGGTTCATTTGTACATGCACAGTGCTCAGTGAGCCATGCTGCTTGCAGGATTCGGTGATGGAAGCTGAGTCCCTGCTGGCAGTCCCTAATCTAGCCAGTTTCACATTCAAATGCAAAGTGAGGATCTCGACCCTTTCCATGTGCGAACACTCATCTTCCAAGCCGTGGTAGGAACAGTGCCTGCAATGGGGAAGAAATTGCTAGCGAGGGTGTGACATTTTGCGCTGCTGTGGAGGGTCTGTGGGGTGGAGGGTGCCATCCATTCGTCTTCCGGGTGGAGGGACTCCGTGCTTAGACATGGGCCTGAGGTAAGTTGGGTGGGTGTCTATGTCCCTGTGGTGGGAGGAGAAGCGTGGGCTTTTAGTGCCAGTGAGAGACTCGAAACAGCTGTGCCCAGAGCAGCCCATTTAGCAGGGTAGGCAGGTCCCTAGCAGGGTAGTTCAGGCCTAGGGCAAAGCAGGCAACTGTTAATTGCTGGCCCTATATTGCTGGCCCCCTCGCACAAGGAACACGCAAATCATCTACCTGCTCGGGTTAGGAACCTTGGGAATTTCCCAGTGAGGTAAGAGATGGGGAAACTCACCCGCTGGCTGTGGAGTCGGGACTAGGGAGAGTGTGTGCTCCTTTGAAGTCCCAGGTTCGTCCTCCACAGTGTGATGAAACTGCCTGGTTATAAGGACCAAATTGAACATGTGTAAGAGAGTAAGAGATGTTGCCAGCCCAGCCTTTGGTGCTTCCTGGTGCCTGGCCCCCTCTGCCCTGGGTTTGGTGGATGGGAGGAAGCCGAGCAGAGCACAGAGGGCCGAAGCCTATGCGGGGCCCAGATAGAACTGGTTCCGAATGTCAAAGCAGAAGGCCAAATCTGGAGATCCAGGTCCAGAAGGGGGCCCAGGTGCACAGGTCACTGGATGTGGGGTGCACTAGCAAGCCACCTTTAGGGACAAGAAGGGTTTGGTGAGCCGAGAACTGGGAGGCGACGTGGTCGGAGTTGGCCCAGCCCCACTGGCAGAGTAAACCGATGGCTATTTGGTGCAGAGTCTCAAAGCAGCATTTCAGTTTGGCTCTCTCAGTCTACAGAGCAAACACTGGCAGCTTGCAAGGCCCGCTTGGGTTCCCACCAACTCAAACAGGCTTGGCCAAGTCTTGGATTGATTTGCTTGGGACAGAAGAAGTTCTGCTTGCCCAGGCCTAGCTGTGGAAAACAAGAGTCTCTTCCCTGCCCTAACCCTGGGATCCAGCAGGGCTGTCCTGAGACTTCTGGGCACACCAGACCCTCCCCTGGCTCTTGCAGGGAGATGTAGAATCTACGCTGAAGGTGGCCTCTCTGTCTCTGTTTGTTTTGTTCTGTTGTTTTTAATCCCGGACCACTGTTGAGCTCTGCAGCAGGCCAGTGGTGTGGAGTTTTATTTATTCCATCAGCCTTCTGAAATTTAGTAACTAGACACCAGGGACAGCACACCTTGATGTCCTTGAACAAAAGACACAGGGTGTCTCTAAACCAAAGTAGCCTTTGACAGGCCGGGTTCTCTCTCGGGCATCAGATCATGGCTGGTTTCTCACTCTGTCTGGGCCCTATGCTGGCCTGGTCCATTGTTCTGCAAGTGTTTGCAAAGGCTACTGACTTCCTACCCAGTCATCCCAGAAAGGAGATGTGGGCAGAAAAGAGGAGGGCTTCCAGTGTGATTGACACACCTCCTTTAGATCACGCCTCCCTGGAGAGAATGTCTGTGCCTGGTCAGCCCCGCTACCCTTTCCTGAGTGTGGTCTTCAGTTTCTTGAGAGCAGTGGTTCTCAACTCTCCTAACACTGCAGCCCTTAGTACAGTTCCTCATGTTGTGGCCACCCAATCTTAACATCATTTTCTTGCTACTTCCTAACTGTAATTGTGTTACTGTTGCGGATTGTGATGTAAATCTCTGATATGCCATCTCCGGGGTTGAGTCCGGAGTTGTATTTATTGTGCAGGGCCAGGGCTAGGAGAACACTCTTAGTCCCTGATTCTCCTCCATGGTGGAGGGCCAGGGCAAAGCGAGGGTGTTGAGTGCATCTGCCTGACAGCAGCCGGGGGACTGGACAGGAGAAAGGGGGCAACGTTGAGGCTGTGGAGACTGTGGGGAAGGGGACAGGGGAACTGGGGATTGGATCCCTGCTGTTCCCTGGGAAAGGCACACATCCTGTTGTTGTTTTGTTTGAGACAGGGTTTCTCTGTGCTGCCCTGGCTGTCCTGGAACTCATCTGTAGACCAGGCTGGCCTTGAATTCACAGAGATCCACCTGCCTCTGCCTCCTGAGTGCTGGAATTAAAGGTGTGCACCACCACCGCCCAGCCTAAAATTGCTTTACTGTACCTTTTAAAAGTGGAGCCCAGGGAAGTAATAGATTAGACATGTGGAGCCTGGATTTTATTTAAATTATATTAAAGATCCTTTAGAGTTTCAGTGGTGAAGAGTTGCCTAGTGTGTGTGAGAGATGCTGGCTTCCACGATGAGCTAGATAAACAGAGATATAGATAGAGAAGACAAGACTCCCTTTAAACTGGCAACTGTGAAGAGGCTGGGTGTGGTGTACACCTTTAATCCCAGCACTCTGGAGGCAGAGGTGAGCAGATCTCTGTGAGTTCGAGGCCAGCCGAGCTAGTCTACATAGGGACTTCCAGGCCAATCAGGGTTATGTAGAGAGACCCTGGGTCCCACCACTCAGGAGGCAGAGGTAGGTAGATCTCTATGAGTTTGAGGCTAGCTACAGAGCTAGATAGCCAGGACTACACAAAGAAACCCTGTCTCAAAAAACAAAAAAACAAAAGCCAAAAAAGGGTGGGTGCTTTATAAAATGTGGACTGACCCTCCAGCTGGAACTGGAAGCTTCTAGTGTCTCAGAAGTGGCAGCACCAAGCATGACTGGGTTTTGCAAAATGAAATAACTCAAAAGAGGAGAGTGGAAGAGACCGCAGGGGAACAGGAAGTTTGTTTTTTACTCCAAGAAACAGGATTGGTTGAAGCCTATGCATACCAGCCTTGGGAGAGGGAGAGGCGGCTCAGGGCAGACTCCCCTACTGCCCTCTGACCTTCCCCAGGGTGATGTACCTTGGGACTGAGGCCTGAGGTAAAAAACAACACAAAACAAAACAAAAAGACCCTCTTCAAAACATGATGCCGAGCGGGCGGGAGGAGGTCAGGCCAGGGCCCCAGGCCAGGGCCGAAGGTACAGCTGTGTGTGTATTGTCTGAGGAAACCCTGCCTTTTGCTTGTGGCACTGCCATTTCCTGTCACCTAAGCAGGTACAGATGTAAACGCGGAACACTGGCTCCCTGTAAGCCAGCGGCCAAACTGAGGCGCTAAGAGATGATGTAATGTATCCAAGGTTACCAAGTGAGGGGGAAGAAGAGGACTTCAACCCCACACGCCGGGCTCCTCAGCGCCCTGCCTCCACAGGAACCCTTTGTCCTGTTTTATAGGTGGGCAAGCTGGCACTAAGTAAGACCCGAGGAGCCAAGATCAGCATTCAGCCAGTATCTGAACACGGGCCACACACGTACCCTTTGTTCTGTCGGAGCACACTGACCTTTTTCTTGC